ATTTTTAACTAGAGGGAGGTATTAGGAGTTTGTTCATCTCTTTGAATTATTAAATAGTTCATTGAAATAGTCTAATTTTTTAATTATTATAATATCTATACTATTATAATAAAGAGGTAATGTTTGTAAGTAAGTTTGTATGTAGCAAGTAATCTCCGAAACTACTCAGCCGATTTCAAAAATTCTTTCACCAATATTTAGAATGGAATTTCAGGGTGGACATAGGCTGTATATTATTCCGTTAAACATTCATATAAATTAAAATATAGAATCTAGGTTAAGGCTTTTATGTCCAACAGATGGCGCTATGAGTACGACGCACTAAGTTTGCTTTTCTGTGAAAATGAACTAAAGCAAATCATCTTCTATCTATCTATATAAATAAAAATGTAATGTTCGTTTGTTCCTACCGATTCCTTTGAAATTCTGACACAACGCTGCATTCGAATACTGTATGCACATGTTTTTATATAATATACATGTCGAAATTTTCCCACTGGGGGGAGATGGACAGGATTAAGGCTTACGGTAAAGAACTCTGCTTCTATTATACTATTTTAGATGTGGTTTTTTGCGTTTTTGATTGCGTTTTAATAGGGTACATCAAGAGAATGTACACTAAGAAGGGATTTTTTGAAAAATTCCCCCCACGGGGGAAGTGTTATACATTTATAATAGATACATTTTGAGCCACATCAACGCTTGGTGGGGTCTGCTAGTTTATATATAAACTTACGAAACATAAAAACTTAATTGGTATATACCAATTAAGTTTTTATGTTATGTAAGTTTATATATAAAATTATAATAATTAAAAAATTAGACTATTTTAACTATGTAGTTTAAAGCTTTCTTTTTTTATACAAGGTGTGTTCCATAAGTAATGAGACTAATTTTTTCATGACATGACGATATGCTGTAGCTAGTTCTAACCTGCTGTGCTAGATGGTTTGGGTGTTAGCTTCGAAACTCGCCTGGTCTCGTTTGCCTCCAAGCTGCCAGCATGTGAGGACGTTCGTTTCCATCAACCCCATTTTGAGTTGATGTAACACGAAGTGATGGATCATTTTGTGGAGCAATGTTACGCTATCAAATTTTGCGTTAAACTTGGGAAGTCCGACACCAAAACTTTTACATTAATTCAGCAGGCCTTTGGGAGTGATTGCTTCTCCAAATCACGTCTTTTGATGGCACAAGTTGTTTAAGGATGGCCGAGAGGAGGTCACCGACGAACCCCACAGTGGACGTCCATCAACCTCTCGAATTGTCTTCTTTGACGTCAGAGGCATTAACCACCAAAAATTCGTACCTGTCAGGACCGCTGTAAATGCAGCTTTCTACTTGGAAGTGTTCAAAAGACTGAAATCCTAGTCGCGTGCTGCCAAAGTGACATTAAGGACACACGGAAACTTCATCACGACAACGCGCCAATCCACAGCGCCTTCACTGTCAACAATTTCCTGGCCAGGACCCACACCCCATTGGTTCCGCAGCCACCTTACAGTCCTGACCTGGCTCCCACCAACTTTTTTTTGTTTCCTCACTTAAAAGGGGCCATGAAAAGCAAAAATTGGGACACAATTGAAAACATCAAGGCTTATGTTACATCAGCTCTAAAGGACATTCCAGAGAAGGCCTTCCAGAATGCCTTCCATGCCCAGAAACACCACCTTCACAAATGTATTGATGCAGAAGGGTGCTGTTTTGAAGTTTTTTGACTAATTGTAAGAATATGTTCAATAAATAATTTTTTATGAATTTGGTCGCATTACTTATGGAACACACCTTGTATATATACATACACATTTCCTTGACTTATGAACTTCTGTGCTTATGACAATTAAATGTTAAAGGCAACAATGGAATGGGCAATAAACATTCTCTATACAACAGTAACTGGTAAGTTTATTAATTTTTAACTATAACTTGGATTTGCATCATTAGCAATTCAAAAGTAAATATAAAACTAANATAAACTTACGAAACATAAAAACTTAATTGGTATATACCAATTAAGTTTTTATGTTATGTAAGTTTATATATAAAATTATAATAATTAAAAAATTAGACTATTTTAACTATGTAGTTTAAAGCTTTCTTTTTTTATACAAGGTGTGTTCCATAAGTAATGAGACTAATTTTTTCATGACATGACGATATGCTGTAGCTAGTTCTAACCTGCTGTGCTAGATGGTTTGGGTGTTAGCTTCAAAACTCGCCTGGTCTCGTTTGCCTCCAAGCTGCCAGCGTGTGAGGACGTTCGTTTCCGTCAACCCCATTTTGAGTTGATGTAACACGAAGTGATGGATCATTTTGTGGAGCAATGTTACGCTATCAAATTTTGCGTTAAACTTGGGAAGTCCGACACCAAAACTTTTACATTAATTCAGCAGGCCTTTGGGAGTGATTGCTTCTCCAAATCACGTCTTTTGATGGCACAAGTTGTTTAAGGATGGCCGAGAGGAGGTCACCGACGAACCCCACAGTGGATGTCCATCAACCTCTCGAATTGTCTTCTTTGATGTCGGAGGCATTAACCACCACAAATTCGTACCTGTCAGGACCGCTGTAAATGCAGCTTTCTACTTGGAAGTGTTCAAAAGACTGAAATCCTAGTCGCGTGCTGCCAAAGTGACATTAAGGACACACGGAAACTTCATCACGACAACGCGCCAAGCCACAGCGCCTTCACTGTCAACAATTTCCTGGCCAGGACCCACACCCCATTAGTTCCGCAGCCACCTTACAGTCCTGACCTGGCTCCCACCAACTTTTTTTTGTTTCCTCACTTAAAAGGGGCCATGAAAAGCAAAAATTGGGACACAATTGAAAACATCAAGGCTTATGTTACATCAGCTCTAAAGGACATTCCAGAGAAGGCCTTCCAGAATGCCTTCCATGCCCAGAAACACCACCTTCACAAATGTATTGATGCAGAAGGGTGCTGTTTTGAAGTTTTTTGACTAATTGTAAGAATATGTTCAATAAATAATTTTTTATGAATTTGGTCGCATTACTTATGGAACACACCTTGTATATATATATATATTATATAAACTCTTAATTTACATGGTAAATTTGTTCCATTTAAAATCAAAACTATATGTACTATAAATTGTGACTAACATTTATATGGAAAATGGAGAGATAATAAAAAATGGAACATTTCAATCTATTATAAAATGATCAGAATTGAAATTTCATTCTGTATCTTCTTTGCTTGTTGATAAATAAACAATTTTCCTCCTTTTGTTTTGGGCTGCAGTTTTCAAATTGCAGACCTATACATTCTCACTGTCATCCATCTGTCTGTCCTTCATTAATCTTAAGAACAGTGTTAGATAGATGAAAATTGAGACCAGATATGGAAAGCTTATAGCCTGGAGACATTGATTAAACTATATATGAACTTCTGGTAAACTTCAATTTAAATTTTTTTCAAAAACAGAGTTAGATAACTGGCATGACTCACTTGTTATCAGAAGAAATACAATGTACAGGAGCAAGGAGTACACTGGGGTGGAAAGACTCTCCAAAAAATCATGTCCTCCAAGCCTTCCATATCTGGTCTGGATTTTAGTGGTGTCTTTCTCTGGAAGTTGTGTGACTTTTTTAATTAAAAGATGATAAAAAATTGCAGCATTGTAACAATTTCACTGTAAATAATGCTCGTTTTAGTTGAAAATCTTATGTTACTTCCATTACTTGCTTGTTCCATCCCAGTTTTTTCTAATAACTTATTGGAGATAAATCAATATCTCCAATAAATTAATCAGAAAAAACCAGGATGGAAGAATATCTTATGGATTTTATCTGAATAAAATTTCTATTCTTTCTATTTTATTTTTTTAATAAATTTTCCAAACTGCATTAAAATTTAATTTGCTTACAGTCTGAAGTCATAATGATGTGTTGTAGTAAAAAATGGAAAATCCTATCTCTCTGAATGTTTATGTTGAAACTAATGGTAACATAATAGTTAACACAGCTTAAATATTAATTTTATTAGTTAAAATACTTACTTTCATTGTTTTAAAATTAAGATACTGAAGAATATTTTAAACACATTAAACTGAAATTGAGTACTATATAAATCAAGGGTTAGGTATACTATTATATTAAAAAAAAAACAGCCTTAAATGGATAGTTCAAGGATAACAACTATAGTTCTGTATGCTGACTTAAGCATGTGTCAAAAATATCTTCATATGATTGCTACGAGGGTAGTCCCAGAAGTACCCAACCTAACAAAGAAGACACAAAAAATTTGGTAAAACATCTTTATTTTTCAACATAGTCTCCTTTTAGCTTGATACACTTTTTCCAGCAATGTACAATAGCTTCGATCCCCTGTTTATAGTGAGAACTGTCGGGCTTCTCAAAATAGCCATCAACTGCAGACTCCACCTTTTCATTGTTGGCAAATCTTTTATCACCAAGCCATTTTTTTAAGTTTGGAAAGAGAAAATAATCCGAGAGGGCTAAATCTGGCAAATAGGGTGCGTGAGGAAGCAATTTGAACCTTAACTCATTGATTTTGGCCATCGCAATAACGGATGTGTGAACTGGTACGTTGTTTTGATGAAACAACACTTTCTTTCTCGCCAAATGTGGCCGTTTTTTCTTGATTTCATCACTCAAGCGCTGCAATAAGTTTGCATAATACTTGCCGTTGATTGTTTTTCCTGGGTGAATCCCAAAAACCGACGCCATGACCTTGCCAGCAGATGGAACTGTTTTCGCCTTCTTTGGAGCTGATTCTCCCCTTTCAGTCCATTGTTTCGACTGTTCTTTCGTCTCAGGTATGAAGTGATGGACCCATGTTTCATCCATGGTTATGAATCGACGCAAAAACTCGGCTTTGTTGCTGCGAAACATTGCCAAAGACTCGATTGAAACATCCTCACGACGCTGTTTTTGTCCCATTGTGAGCAAACGCGGCACCCATCTTGCGCACAGCTTTCTCATGTCCAAATTTTCAGTTAAAATGCGATGTACAGCACTTTTTGAAATGCCTACCATGTCTGCTAGCTCTCGCACTTTGAGTTGACTGTCATCCAATACCATTTTGTGGATTTTTTCCACCATTTCTGGCATGGTCACCTCATTTGGTCGACCACTACGATGTTCATCTTGGCAGTTCGTACGGCCTCGTTTAAACTCTGCCACCCAATATTTTATTGTTGTAAACGAGGGAGCAGACTCCCCCAGAGTAGAATCTAGCTCAGCTTTAGTATTGGTTGGACTGAAACCTTTCAAATGAAAGTATTGTATCACATAATGATGACAAACTTTTTCCATGTTTACAAATTCACTGAGATTGTTCACTATTTATGGCTGCCAAAAAAAATACTATACAACGTAACGTCTTCAAACTTAAGCTTTATAAGGTTGATACTTTCGAACACAGTAGTTTTTTTTCAAACAAGTACCGCCATCTATGTCAGGTTGGGTACTTCTGGGACGACCCTCGTATTTTCCAAGCTTACCAACCAAATATATACACACCGAAAACAGTGAGTTTTGATAGGTTTAGGAGTAGAATTGAATAAAAAATGCAGCATGTATTTTGAAAAATTCTGTAATATCTACAGCATTGAAAAAATTAAATTTATATAAATTTTTTTAACACAATTTTGATTTGTAATTATATTAATAAATATATTTCTACAGGATATCCAAATGAAAAAGCAGCTCATGTTGCAATTGATGTGGTTCGAAAATGGTTAAATGAAAATGCTAACAGTGTAAGAGAGATTTTATTTTTAAGTTACTTGAATATATTTTGATACAAACCCCAAAAAATTGATTTAAATTTTTATTATTTTAACACACCATCAAGAACCTTCAAAATCCAGTAACACAATTTAATGAAAACATCTAACGAACATTTTCAACCTTGCCAAAGGTCTGCTTCAGGTTTTTAACCAACAAATTTCAAATTAGAATGTGCAGAATAGAATATATTTGAAAATTTGGAACAACACATAACATATATAAAAATTTAAATGGTAGACAATATAAAAATCATAAAATATATAACTATAATCCATATACAAAAAATTTTTTTTATATCCTAACTAATGGCAGAGAGAAATTAATATATGTTAGCATTGCCCAGTTTTTATAAAGGTACAGTATATCCGTACATATGATACAGTTTTACCATCTTTAAAGTTAATGCATTTGCCAGTCATGCTGGTCTTGTATATTTTTAAGGCTTTTAGGTTCTGAATAAGATCCGTTTGAAAGGACTGCCTTATTAACTTGGCATTTTGGAGGTCAGTGGCATACATGGACAGGCCACTGGTATGCCTTTTGTTTATAATGTTGTACCAATGTTATTGCACCTCTTTTGTATTGAGCATTTTATGGAACCAATGTAATTAAGTCCCTTTCAAACCTGTTGTCACTGACCAGAACACTATATACCTGAGGCTCTACTTTCATCGGTCCTGTCTTTCCCATTGCATAATACCATATATCATGTTGGATCTCCTGTATGTAAGTTTGGTACCCATATGCCAACAATTTCTTTATATGTGGTGTTTAAATGCTGGTTATGCTCCACTATAGTGCGTCCGAAATTTGGGTTGCGATCTGGATTTTAAAGGTTCTTGATGGTGCAATTCATTTCAGTAATTTGGTAAGAAGATAGTTTTTAATATTGTTTTAACTTTTTTTTCAGATTGACCGAATCATCTTTTGTTTATTTCTTAAAGAAGACGTAAAAATTTATCATAGATTGATGGCTGAATATTTTCNAATTTTTTTTATATCATAACTAATGGCAGAGAGAAATTAATATATGTTAGCATTGCCCAGTTTTTATAAAGGTACAGGACTGCCTTATTAACTTGGCATTTTAGAGGTCAGTAGCATACATGGACAGGCCACTGGTATGCCTTTTGTTTATAATGTTGTACCAATGTTATTGCACCTCTTTTGTATTGAGCATTTGATGGAACCAATGTAATCTAAGTCCCTTTCAAACCTGTTGTCTCTGACCAGAACACTGTATACACCCGAGGTTCTACTTTTGTCGGTCCTGTCTTTCCCATTGCATAATAACATATATCATGTTGGATCTCTTGTATGTAAGTTTGGTACCCGTATGCCAACAATTTCTTTATATATGGTGTTTAAATGCTGGTTATGCTCCACTATAGTGCGTCTGAAGTTTGGGTTGTGATCTGAATTTTAAAGGTTCTTGATGGTGCAATTCATTTCAGTAATTTGGTAAGAAGATAGTTTTTAATATTGTTTTAACTTTTTTTTCAGATTGACCGAATCATCTTTTGTTTATTTCTTAAAGAAGACGTAAAAATTTATCATAGATTGATGGCTGAATATTTTCCAGCATAAAAAATATATATATCAGATTTAATAAATTAAGTTAAAAGTAAATTGATTTGTATTTTTAACTAACATATATATATTTTTTCCTTGCAACTTAATTAAATTATGTGTAGCACATAATTAGCATTAATCTAAAAAGAAAATATCTCTTACAATCTAGATTGGATTTGAGACCAAATCCTTAAATAAAAAGTGTTGTATTGTACATAAAAAAATTTAAAATATTAAATTGTAATTTGTATTTTGTTAATTTTTTCAACAGCTGTGCTTTAATAAATATTTTATCATAAAATTTGTCAATTTGTTGTGCCAAATATTTTTGTTACTGGATTGTTTTTAATTAAGGAAAAACAAAAATATAAAGTTGTATTAAATGCATGTATTTAAACTTTTTGTAATATTTTCGTAGTAAATAAAACAAAATATAAGCTGTTTTTGTGGTAAATTTTAATGATTATAAATAGTAAATTCAGATTTATATATAAATAAATATTGAAGACAGACAATAATTTCTTCATAAATTTGAGGTTTGAATTATGTTAATATAAATATGAACAAGTGAATATAAACATGATTAAATTGAATAAAGTATTATTTCAAGTGTCTTAAATTATGTTTAATAATGCTTAAACTTTAAGTTTCTTCACATTATTTTTGGCTTACAAAAATTTTCTGAAGATGTTGAGCGCTCTATTTAATACGAGAAAAATAGACAAAATGTATTTATTGAGATTTTTAAATTTGTATAAGTTTACTTTTTCAGGTTTAAATTGTTATTCGCACAAGCGCAATTTTATAAGTTGCATCTTAATTAATGGAACTATGGGGATAGTAGACGTTCCTACTTAATACAGTCACACCTCTGAATAATGGCCACTGATTGGAACATAAAAAAAAAATGGTCGTCTTTGGAGGTTCGACTGCGTCTTGCCTATCACGAAAGGCTGCAGATAAGGTTGCCTCACAATTTTTTCAGTTATTTCCTTCCAAATTCCCGAGAAACTTGTCATCGTGGTCAAACCAAACTTGCTAAATAATGTTAATATAAATAATAATTCAGCATTAACGATAGAAACGAACTGCAATTAAGACAATACGAAAACAATTGTCATAGAAGCGCGAGAGTTTAATAAATCAAAACAATACTATAAACGTCACACTCAATTACCGTATTGTTCTAAGTAGTATCCAGTAAAATTTAAATTTATTAATTATGAGCTCATAATTCGTTAATTCGCACACTAAAACACACGAATAATACACGTATAACCGTATTCCGTGTAAAAAAAAAAATCGAGTGCGGGAAATCGTGACGTTATCTAGTGGCACGTGATACAGATTACAAAATAAATCTGTATAAATCACAAGAGTAACGCGCCTAGTGTTAATCTGATACGTAACCTCAACATCCCGCACATTAACAATTCACCGGGAGATAATTTGTTTAAAGCAACGTTCCCTTCTGCATCTATGACGTAAGCATGTGTGCTGCTTCGTTTCACCATCAGAGACGGTGCTGAAAGAGGATCGATAAGGAAATGGTTCTGTGGATTGCTTGATCTGTTCTTGCCATCGCCATGGTGCTTTGGATACTTCCTTTACTATTTTCTGGTATTTATTTCGTTGTTTATCTTTTCTGTTACGTCACGCATCATTTTCCAATTATAAACACTAGAAATGGAAAGATTCGTTTTATTAGCCGCCTGCTATATTTTTGCGGGAGAATTTTCTTTCGATTTGGAAGAAAATTACAGATTTATACGAATTAATTTGCGATTTCTGGTATTTACGTGCTTATATAATTGAAAAAATTCAATTAAAATGTACAATGCGCTTAAAAATAGCGCATTTTTTAATGATTTTCTCCTCCTCCTCCTCTTTACATTGCCGTATTGAGAAATATACCGAGTATATTTTAGAATTATTATTATTATTTTTGTTAATATAATTATATTATTTCATAGTTAATATATACAAAAGTCTAGTTATAAATACAGGGCATCTGTTTCCTATATATTTTTAATTAAATGATACATGTACAAGTATCATTTCGTTTCGCCGTTTTTTCGGTATTCTCTAGTTAAAATCTAAATGCAATTAAAACTGGAAATTAAAATATACATTTTCTTTCTTTGTTAATTAATTAGTTGCTGTAACTCTTGATCTAAGTTTGGATAAGCAAATCAATGAGAAAGCTACCATGGAAGCCATAACACCAAGTGCTGCCTCTCAGGTAAAGTCTTAACACTTCATACTATATTCATCATTCTTAATATACAGTTACAAAAAAACAAAAGGAAAATAAAATAAAAACAAACACATACAACATTTTTAATATCAAAATTATATTATTATATTAAAATTGAAATATTTAAAAATCAATAAATAATCCTTTAAGTCATAGATCAATACAAGATACATGTGACTAACACATTGCTGAATGAATACAAGTAGCAATGGTACACTGCAATGTAATAATTTGTTTAGTATCTTGAATTGTTTTTGTTTTATATTCAAGTTTATATAACAAAATGTAAAAATTATATAAAATATATTAATTTTAATAGGATGATGATGTATTATTAGCCTATAGGACCGCCCATTAATTACGTGTACTTTTAGCAAACCTCCTCCCCTTTAATTACATGTACAGTACAATAGTTTAATGGACCTCTATATTGAAGAAATGACTTAATTAAGTTCTGCAAATGTTTTCTAATAGTTTATTCATATAAATAGTAAATAGGCTAATAAGAGCAAATTTGTATGCTACTAATACTACTAGAAAAGTACATTTTAATTATTTCATGATCAGTGCTTCTCTTCTAAGTCTGGAAGAAAGTTAATAGGTTAACTGATTTACTTAATTATTAAAATAAAAAAGTCCATATAGACAATGCCTTGACTCCTTTCCTCCCTATTGTGTACAATGATATACATTTTTCAAAGTCTTCCTCCCTTTAAACTGTACACATAATTAATGGATGGACTGTATCCATAATGATAAATGAACCTTTTGACACTATATTAAGTTGATTATTCATAAATTTTCTCCCAATTTACAACTTAATAATCATGGAAAAAAATTTTTTCCATCTTAATAAAAGTACCAAATCTCTTTTATATACAAGAAGTTTTTATAATTTATTGCTATTACATTACTAAATTAAAATAACTGTGTGAAAAAATTGATTATTATAGAAAACAATTAGCATAGACTAAAAATGTACATAATTACTGTATTAATTAATAAAAAATACAAAGAATGCATTCTTATTATTATTACATTTATTAATTTCTTTCTTAGTTAACGTAAGTAGTTAGTGAATGTGGTTTAATTATAATTCTCTCTCTCTCTCTCTATAGTATTTTGTCTTTGTGACAGGTCCTTGAAGTATAGCATTATCCTCTTCTCCATCACTCTCTATCCTCACCTTAGCTTTCAGCTCTGAACATCTCTCTCCATCTCTAAAATTGTCTAGTAATGATAGTCGTCTTCTTCCTCTTTTCCATCTATCATTCCCCCTTTATAACAGTTCCTTTTTCTAAGACAGTTCCTTTATTTTTTAAAACATGCCCAATCCAGTTTCTTTTCCTTTTTCTAACTATAATAAGAAAATTTAATTGTATTTAATGTAATAAAACATGCTTTATAGTGAAGGGAGTTTAAACACTTAAAAACCAAGCACTTTTGAGCCTTATTAGCTCATCTCCAGAACTATAAATTCTCAAAAACAAACAAATTAAAAAAATTTATGCCTCTTAAAATGAGTCATTAGAGCTCAAATGTACTTTTGTTTATAAATAATTACACTACACTAGAATAATTGTAATCTCATCAGGGGTTCACTTAAACTGATAATTTTAATAATAATCAGTGTAAATAAATAAGACCACAAATAGTGAAAATTCTAAAATGTTTTAACATGTTCTTTTAATGTCAAAAAAAGATGTATAACTTGAAAATTTATTAATTATGATTATTATTATTACATATTTATTTTTTATTGTTTTATTATGACAGCTGCTTCTTTGGTTGATGATAGCCTTCATCTGCATCAAGTTCTTCCCAAGAACTTAAGATGTTATGATGTATCAGTGTAAGATGTTTGTTGATCCAAGCTGCATGGTCTTTTGTCAACAGGTGTTAATTTTTTCGACATTCCACCATTGCAAGTGCTGTCCCAGGTTCTTAAGTACAGCACCCATTGTGCTGATGACCACTGGAATCATCACTGCTGGTTTGTGCTACAGTTGTATTTTACTCTTTGGGTCTTGGTTTTTTACAGTCTTTTCCAGTTCTTTTTCTTCAACTCTGCTGATATCACAACATCATTAATCCACACCTTTACAAAACCAAATGCAAACCTCAAGATCAGTTAGCAATGAAAGTAATGAGACCTTCCTTTTCATAAAATTATATCTGGTGTGTTTGAGTACTTTATCTGTTTAAGTTCAAAAGTCCCTCAGGATTTAAACTTTGCTTCTTCTCAGCAACTTTTTGATTTGATGTTCCCAACAGTTCTTAGCGAGGGCAAATTGTAATTTTTGCAAAGGTTCCAGTGGATCATTTTGGCAACTGTGCTGTGCTGCTGTTTGTAATTATTTATTATTATTGTTTTTATTGTTATTATATTAACTTACACATTTTGAGAGATGCTAATTCTGTTCATATGAAATGAATGCTTATTATAATCTCAGATAATTTATCAGAGTCTAGTATATTTAAAAGCATTCCAATAAAGAATATTTCCATATTTTATTGTATTTGCAATACATTACTGTATATAAAATTTCTTTTAAAATAAAATTTAAAATATTAAATAACCAAAAAGTAAATTCTGTATATTGTATACATTATGTATGATGTTATCATCATTGTTTGATATTTTTGAACTTGCCTAACTTTTTCATATGGGCCTGTCCATGTGTACCATGGAGAAGGGTTGCAACAATTACATCTTTGCCTTGATCCCCTCCCCCATCATATACATTGTCTACATGGATTTCTTTAGCAGTATTAGTGGCAGATGAATTTGTTCTTATAAGCCTGCTTACCAATCATGTGAATTAATTATCAATTAGAAAACATTTCCACAAATTTTAGTCATTTCTTCAATGTTAGGGAGATCTCTGAATTATTGTACATATAATTAAAGGGCTGGGGTTGGCCAATAATGCATCATTATACACAAAAGAGGAGACAAAACTGGCTTGAAAGCTATACATGTGGTCCCTATGAGAGAGGTTTTTTTAATTCTTTAATAACACTTTTAATAAACAAACATGAAACCAGATAAATTTGTAAAGCCAAATAACCACTGGATTACATCAAACTACTTTTCCGCAATTATATTTAATTAATTACTAAATAATTTTTAACTAGAGGGAGGTATTAGGAACCATCTTTTATTAAATTAATAAGAGATAGTGCCTAATGACTCTCTCTAGTGACAAATTATTTAGTAATTAAATATAATTGTAGAAAAGTAGCCCGATGTAATCAGGTGGTTGTTTGGCCTTACAACTTTTAATAATAATATCATAAAAGTAATTCATTTTTTTGTAATTTTCAGGAAAAACAATTGACAAGTGAAGATTCTACATCATCATCAAATGAACCATTTGGTAAATTAGTCTATCATTTAATACTCAGATAATTTTTCTTTTAATAAATATTGACGTAATCTTTATATCCAGACAAAGAAGTGGCACCAGCATTTACATTCCATGCTTGGGATTTGGATGGAAAAATATGTATTCTTGCCAAATTTCTTGCCACCTTTACCATTGTATATCCTAGTCAAGGAGGAGATCTGGTAATTTTAATATTTATCTGTTGTTTCCCTAAAACACAACATAATATATCATCGAAAATTACTTTTAGAGTGTTTCGGTCAATTTACCGGATACTGCAAGAACAAAAGGGACATGTGAAAGTCAGACAGATAATCCAGTATTAGAATTATCGTGGTCAGATTTTCGTTTAAGCATGATATTCACCAGAGTGAGCTGCTTTTTATATAATATAAATAATTCAAATCTGTTTTTATGGTGAACTTTATACATATTTTTATTTTTTTATACCAGGTTCCATCAAAAGACAAAAAAGTTCCAGACAATTGGATTATCAGTTCTATTGAATTATTTTACAATACTACTATACCTTTGTTTGATGAAGCAATAAATGGTAAGTGGAATTAAAATATCTAGTTATAAACTGAAAAATAAACAGGGTTAAAAAGCAGGGTCAATAGCTTGCATTCAGGTCCGCTTCAAATGAGATTCTGATATGATACATCCCACTACACTGACCCCCCCCCCTCTGGAAAAACGGAACCACCCAAGCAAAAGACAGAATTGTTTTGTCTCCACCAACTGTTAGGCCTACACCACATTAGTATATGTAGTGTTGACATATTTTCAAAAAATCTCTAAAATATATCAAAAATTGATAAATTCCTTTTCTGCTACTGTCCCAATTAAGCATTTAGATTATTATTAGTTTGGTTTCCATTCTTTGAGATTTGGCCCAATTAAACAGAAGTGACTGTATATAGTAGTCTTTACAGTTGGATTTGTGACATACATACGTAAATACAGTAGAGCATCGATTATCCGACCCCCAATTAAATGTCACATCGGTTAACCGACCGTTCTAGTCGGCAAATTTCAAATGTCCACTAGTGATGTGGCGCTACAATATTTGGGTATGTCTTGGCTACTTTAATATTATTTTTGTTAAATTTTTGTGTGTTTTAGCTGGCAACACTGGCTTGACCATGAAAGGGAGACCAGTATTTAAACGAGACTTAATTTTCTAATTATGAGTGGTTGTTTGTTTTGTGAGCAATAAAATAATTTAAAAATAATTTTTAACGATACAATAGTGACGATTATTATTTTAAAAAAAATTTGCTATGCTTAACATTGATGAAAATTCAACACGAAGTAGGTTAAGAGCAATATACTAATTACATGGGATATACTAATATACTATACTAATAATGTATTTTTTTCATTCTTTTCGGTTGTCCGACCAACTTGAGTCCCCAATTGAGTTGGATAATTGATGCTCTACTGTATCTCAAAGCCCAATGATTATATTAAAATGCCAAATTAAATTAGAGCTACATTACCATTACCAATAATTATTAAATCCTGAGTAATTTGGCACTAGAGTTAGACATTACGCACCATCTTATTAAATTTAATAATTGTAATTAGTTCTTACTTGAAGTAAAAAAATATTGAATAACGAAGTTTACACTTAAAAATTGTGAAATTTTGTACAGATGATTTCCAAAACCATGTTAGAGCAAAACTAGAAGTTGTGTTATATAGAGGATATCCCTAATTTTCAAACAGTGTTGTATGAGGGACACCTGTATGTATGTGTTTGTGTATATATATATATACAGTAGAACCTTGATTATCCGGACTAATTGGGGATGAAGGTAGTCCGGATACGGAAAAATCCGGATAATCGAAACAAATACTTTAATTTGTCTTTTAATGATAATACAACACGTTTTCTTTTCGATGACATATCGGTAATATTAAAAGCAAATGCTGTATTTAAATCGTGATCAAATTTTCAAGAAACAAACGTTCGTATTGAATTTGGACTACTACTGACCAACGCTAACAGACTACCTATTGTTTAAAAGGCCCTCTGGTGGCGCAAGAAGACGGATTTTATAAAATAAAAAGCAGTTGAAACTGCATTTTTATGAATAAAAATTTGACAAACTATTTATC